GCTCATAGTCAACTTGTGATCTACAACCATTCCAATATATTTTTGCTTGTAATATTACTGAGTCAAGTATCCCTCACCTTGCCACTGTGCATCCAGTTTCTTCTTCAGTGTAGAACTTTGCACTTATCTCTGTTAAATTTCATTCTGTTGTTTTCAGCCCAGCGCTCAAGCCCACCTAAGATCATTTTGAATTTTGTTTCTGTCTACTAGTATTAGCTATTCTACCAAATTTTGTGTAATCTGCAAATTGGATAAGCATGCCCTGCACTCCCTCATCCAAGTCATTAATAAAAATGTTGAACAGCACAGGGCCCAGAACTGAACCTTGGGTTACCCCACTTGTTGCCTCTTTCCTTTCAGGAGTCACTAATAAGCACACTCTGAGTACGATTCTGTAACCAACTGACAGTTGTCCTATCTAGCCCATACCTAGATAGCTTGTTAATCAGAATATCATGGGGCACTTTGTCAAATCAAGATATTGATATTTTGTGAAGGTTGGGTTTCAGATGCCCAAATTATACACCCACAAAGAGCCCCCCCAAAGTTCCCCCCAGCGACCTAGAGACATCACAATCACAGGGAAACCTCCCACAACTCTCCTTCACAATCCCCCCAAGTTTGGTGAAGACTGGGTTTTCCCAAGCCAGCTGCAAAAGTGCACTTGGGTGTTTGAAACCCAATCTTCACCAAAGTTGGAGTGACTGTAGAGGAGAGTCACTAGCTTTTCTGTGATTTTGGTTTCTCTAGGTGCCTGGGGGAGAACTGTGGGTGTATAATTTGGACATCTGAAACCCATTTGCAGGGCTTGTAGGAGAGAGTCAGGGGAATCTTCCCTGCACATTAGGTGTCTCTAGGTGTTTGAGGGGCTGTTTTATAAGGTTTTCAAGTAAAAAAAGTTGATGAATTGATTCATCAGAAAAAAAGGAAACTTGTTATCCTTGATTAATCATGAATCAAAATGAATCACCATTTTTCTGAGTCATGCCCATCTCTGTTCTCAGCTTTCACCTTCCTCACACCATCCCTGAAATTCTTTGCTACCTGTCTGTACCTTTCCTTTCTGGCCAGACCTTCTTCCCACTTACTATATGTGTCCTTTATATTTGGTTTTCAGGTCCTGTATGAGGTTTTTGTAAAGTCACATTGGACTCTTCTACCTTTTTTTCCCTTGCTGGAATTGGTTGCAATTTTTAAGAGACTCTCACGCATCTAGCAGCACCAATATTTTAAGGGTACTGCAGAAAAATCATAAATAAAAGTTCCAAAAATTGTAAATAAAAGTCCTAAATATTCATGGCAGATATCTGTGCTAGGTGTGCTTGAGGTGAGTTCAAATCCCGTGGGCAAGATCTCAAGCATAACCTCTGGCAGCATAGTTTGAATTTTTCACCCAGCTCTTCTAACAAAGGTTAGAAGAGAACCATGGAGTTTATAACACCCCCAGCCTCAATTCCACATATTGCCTGCTTTTGAAATATAAAGTTCCTTTTTGGCTGTGGGGCTGGAGAAAGGCAACACAGAACATAGCAGCCTCTAAAGGTTGAGGTGTTCCTCTTGAATGCCTGTAAGTCTGTCTCCTAATTTGTGCCTCTATTTTGAAAAATCTTTTAACTAGTTTGGAACTCCCCCCCACTGCTTTTTTCCCCTTTTCTCTTTAATGAATTAGAAAAGTCCTTTCAAACAGCTGTCTAGATTTTTGGCTAAGAGGCCTTGTAGTACTAAAACCAGTCCTTGTATTGACTAGTTGCTGGGATTTTTCAGTGTTTGTGTGAGAGTGATGGCAGCTACCTTGCAAGTTTGGTGCACCTAGCTTTGGGGATTCTTTTTGTGCGTGTTCGACTCCCAGGAAAACAGCCAGGTTTGAGAGACTGGGGTGTTAGGAGTATTTCTTCCATAGCCTTCACCACATCTGACTCCTCCCTGACCTTTCCCACCCTAGGACGAGCAAGAAAAGTGTAGCTGAGTGGTTTATTTATTTATTCAAAACATTTATATGCTGCCTTTCTCCCCAAAATGTGGCTTGCATCAATAAAACAATATTTAGAAGCTAAAACAGTAATTATACCAATATTAAAAAATAATGAAACAAGTACTATACTAAAATGGTAATTAAGATCAATATTAAAACGCATTTAAAACGAGTACAACATTCCAGTGGTTACTGAGGAGTCCTGACCAGTTCAATCATAAATCCAATGGCAGACTGCAGCCAAGAGTTCAGCAGACTAAGACTTGGGAGGGCAGCTATGAAGGAACTAGAAAAGATCTCAGTTATAAGAATGGTTACTAACACCAACATCATTCATAATTAATTTTATTTGTATGATCAACAGATCAGATGTGAATAACACAGAACAACTGCATAAGAATAGAATCAATACAACTATAATATACTGTACATATTATTGTATTCCCAATTACTATGCACAGATGTGAAAGCTAGACAATGAAGAAAGCCAAGAGGGAAAAATTCATCTGAATTTGCAGATGCCCTGGACTGTCACAAAAACAAACAATGGGGTTGTAGATCAAATCAAGCCTGAACTCTCTCTCTAGAAGCAAAAGGGATGAAATTGAGTCCGTCATACTTTGGGCACATCAGAAAAAGGCAAGACTTGCTGGAGAAGACAATGATGGGAAAAGTTGGAGGGCAGCCACTCTAGCCACAAGACAGTGGTTAAACTGAATATATATTAACAGTCCAAAGGGTTGTTTGGTACAACAGACCCACATTACCTTACGAATTTAGTTTACAAACAAATGAACATCCTAAAAGGATGTTTTTGTGTGAAAATATGAATCCCCATACAGTTAAACAGAGACTGAGCAGTCTCCTATACCTCTATATTTAGAAGTGTTTCCCATTTAGAAGTATTTCCCATCAGAGGATTTATTTCCAGGCAAGGATGCTGCATCACAGACACAAAAGAACACATTTTTTATATTATTGCTATACTTTATAACTTATTATTCAAACTTCTTATAATGGTAAAGGAAGGCTTGTGGGTTTTGTTTTTGGGTGGTTGGTATCCCATTCCTCTAAAAAAAAAGAGAGAGAAAAGAGTAGTTTTAAATGTCACAGGATAAGAACTGAATTAGGAGAAGGCCCTGTGGTCCAGGATTACACAAATGCAAGAGTAGGGCGATACTTTTACTGAATAACTAAACCCACCAACAACTGATCTTTCTCCCCATCACTCGTTCTTCCTGCATTCGTTTTATAACTCCTGTGTACGTTTACAAGGACTTAAGGAGCCTTTTTTAAAAAGTCAGTTGTATGAAATGGAGTTTTACGATATATAAGAGGGTGTTAAAAGAAACATGCATAATTTATTATACAGAAATCAAGAAATTATGCAGTAGGAAACCCCGAAGAGCACAGCGTCACCCGCCACCTCTTACCCTCGAAGCCAGAAATCTAGACCTCGTCAGGCCTCTTAACGTTACCCCCAGCCCCAGTGCCTATGAATTTCCTGGAGCGGGCCTCGGTTTCTATGGCAACGACGGCCCTTCCCCGACTACCCACGACAAGCTCGGCCGTGACTCGCCTCCGCCAATCACAGGCAAGGAAACCTGCCGCGCACCACGCGCTGTGTCCCTGCGCGCGCGCACTAATGACGCAATGACGCGAGCGCCAGGCCATAACCATACCCCCCCCCCCCATTTGGGCTTGGGCTGGACCCGGCGCTCACGCTGCTGTGGGCTGAGGTGAGTCGGTGTGGGGCGTCTCAGGCCCCACAAAAGCCACGGAGCTCGGCCTGGCGCCTGCTGCCTTTTCTGGTTCCACTCTCCCATGGAATGCTTTAGGCCCGGCCCTGGGGGCTCATATAAATCAATAGGGGCCTGCGGGGCTGTGTTTTTATTTATTTATTTATTTACTTCTCGATATAAATCAATAGGGGCCTGCGGGGCTGTATATTTTTATTTACTTTTCAAGGCCTGACCTACAGATTCTTCCCTTCCTCTTCTCCGATCTTGGGAATGAGCGCTTGAAGCCCAGGCTCCCTAAACCAGCACTGCAGGTGGTGTCCCTTTCCCATCCAGAGCTTTGCTCTTTTTTTCTTTTTTTTTTGAATCGGGAAGGTCAAACCTTTGGCTCTAGAAGAGCACCTTGCTCCTTAACGCCAAGCAGGCAGATCGTTGAAATAACAATAGTGGTGGATGTTGATAGCTTAAACTCTATTCTGTTGTTGTTATGGCTTCTAGTGAGCTTAAAAAAATACATACAGAAAGCTTCCTTACATACCAGGTCAGTTTACGCTAAACGTCTAGGCCTTCAGGGTGGGTGGAGAGTTCAGTGAATTGGGTACCTGGCTGGAGATCTGGAGTTTTATTTGCCGGTGAGCCTCCTGGCAAAAGAGCCAGCCAGTGTGTCTTAGAGAAAATTCCACAGTCTTAGAGCACCCCCAGAAGAACAGGACGACTGCTGAGTGCTCTGTAATTAGAAAAGCCAGGAAGGGGTAGCCATAACTTAAAATCAACTTGGCAGCATGTAATTATTATTTAGATCTCCAGGCTCCCAAATTAATTCTTATCAACTGCTACCTGATTTTTTTAACTAGAGCTTGTGAGCTTTATATCCAAGATCATGTTTGCAAAACGCATTTACCTTTTTTGCTGAGGGTTTTTGGTTTGCTTTTTTCCTTAACTATTAAGCATTTAAAGTATACAGTGGACCCTTGACTTACAGACGGCTTGACTTACAGACTTTTTGACTTGAGAACCGCCTTCCAATACGGATTAAGTTCTCAAGTCAAGACCCCACTGTAATTATGAAGCCCTGTGCCATCTATAGAGCAGGTATAACGCAGTGGTTTAGACTAGAGCACCTGGCAGAAGAAGCAGAGGCCGAGAGTTTGAACCCCACTGTGCCTCTTAGATCCCAAATCACCTAGAGCATGTGTGACTATTGACAGAGATACATGCCATGCTGACACTGTGGCCTTAGGCAAGCTGTGAAGCTTCAGAGGACCACCAGAAGAAGGACCAGTAAACAATTTACTGGAATTGACTTGGCAGTGCATAATTATGAATAATGCAGCCTAATCAGGCTGTTGCTATTAGAATTTAGCTTGAGGTGCCATGCTTTTGCAAACCTAACTAAGGAGAAAATGAATGAGAGTAGTTATGGTATGTGTTATTTCTTGATTATTCTTTGTTTTTTAATGTATGAAATTAAGATTACTACTCTAGATTACTGCATCTTTTTGCTTTTATTCTTTTTAAAAATATATGCTCTTGAAATGAGAATGAGTACAGTATAGGCTTTAAAGTTGTGTAGGCACAGAGTTATTTTCTTTAAAATGTCAGGGAACTGTGAGTTGTATAAAATAAGTAACTAAGGGGGAAGCATGTATTGTTTCTTACTGTAAGAAGAGTAAGAAGAAAACTGCTTCTTAGATGATCACTTACTCTGTGAATTTTGTTTTAATGAAAGCTGTTTAAGAAATATCTTGGGATTTTTTTTAGTGTTATCTTAACAAACTGGTTTAACCAGAACTTTAGTTTCTTGAATTTGTTCAGCAGTTTGAAACCTGCTACCTAATATTTTATGTCTATACAGCTAACTATTGTATGACTGATTATTATTAATGACCTAAGTCATCTTACCTAGTTATCAGGGCAGTGTACATTTTGCCCTAAGTTAAGAAATCCCTGTCGATCTTATCAGTTTTGATTTCTTAAATTGGGGTAATTTGCCTCCAAAAGTTATGCTATTTGTGTAGCTACACAAAAGGATTTTAGCCAAGTAATCCTGGCTGCAGTGCTTTTGTAATGTTGTCTTTCAAAAAAATTATGCTCCAGAGGGATAGGACAGTAGTTCCCTCAAGTTGTTCCAAGACTGGAAAATGCATTGATTACAAAGAATGTGACCTGATTGCATAATCATAGATAGTGGTCTTATTTTGGTATAGCAGTCATTGTAGTGGTCAATTATAGATAGTGGTATTATTTTGGTATAGTAGTCATTATAGTCAGTATAGCAAAATTCCACAATGATATATTATCATTGTGGAATTTTATAAGTAACTGTGCTTCTGCTTTTATTAAATCTCAATATTTTACTGAACACAAGTGGTATGTGTCAAATATTTTTCTCTGTGCTGAGAAGGAAGAGAGAGACTTGGACAAAGGCAGATTTTCAGGTGACTGGCTGAAATGAAGTCCAGGATCTTGAACATGGTATGCAGGCGCCCTGTGGAGTACAGAAAAATAAGCTGTGTGTTTAATTGAATGATATTATTTAGCACTTCCAGCTTTGTCCATATGATGGTATTCTTTCTAAAAGTTTAGAAGAACTAAGATAGGAAAGAGTTGCTGATCTAACAGTTCTCTGTTTCTTCTCTCCTGTTTGCAGTAATAAGCAAACTTCTTAGGAAGAGTGATGGTAACTAGAGATGGGGGTATTTGTATTAATATACGAATATCCCCGTGCAGCTGGAGTTAACGAGGGTCCGGCCCCTGGGGCTGGACTGTCCACTCACATGTCCACCCACACGTCCATCGCTGGGCCCACTCATCCTTCCAGTTGCTCCTGGCGTGCCCTTCTCTTCCTGGTCAGCTAGCTACTCCTGGCAAAGAGGGGGAGGACAAGTCACCCTGCAAGGCTGCCCAGGGGCTGGACACTTGTTAACTCCAGCTGCACGGGGGTATTCTTATATAAATACGAATACCCCCATCTCTAATGGTTCCGGTCTTGGTGCAAAATTCCCCTCCTAGGCTAAAGAGTGCTAGGAGATCTGTATAGGTAACAACCCCCCCATTGTATATTCTATGATTCTGGTGCCTCATTCAAACTGTTCCCTCTGGCTGATTTATTTTAAGTCTGTTTAGTACAGCCTTGAAAATTTTTCTTCACTTTGACCTTTCTTTTAAAATGTGAATGTCCTGAGTAAATTTTTCATTCAGTAGCTGTATGTGTATTTTGTGTTTGTAATATAGTATATTGATTTGTGAGGACTTCATTATAAAAAGTAGTTTATAAGTACCGCACTTCGATAAAAGTAAGTCAAGCAACCTTCTCCACAGTGATGGCATATTGAAGTGTTTTCTTTTTCCAGCACAGTGGAAATAAATTATTTGTTCTGTATTCAGAATTCTGTCTGAAAAAGTAATGAGACCAGTGAATCATAGGCTAGATTCCATGTGCCTAGTTCTGTAGACATCCAGAAAAGTAATACTGTGGCTAAGAACCCAAAATGTTTGAAAGCCCTGATAAACATTGCACTGTGATATATATTACTGTGGAGATAAGCATTATTTGAATACCTATAATAGTGTTAGGCTTAAAATTTTCATATTTTATTGAATTGTTTTTAAAGTTTTTGTGGTTTGGTGTGACATTTGAATTGAGTCTGAAGAATAGGGAGACATTTATTTTGATTAAATATTGTACATTCATAATTCTTTCTTTCCCACCACCAGCTTTTCGGGATGTTGCAATGGTTGGAATTCTTCAGGCCATGGTTGCTGTGGTACTGCTGTGGGAGAACGCCTTGATGGATGAGTAGTACCATTCAGTAATGGGCTGTGGGACCAGCAAAGTACTTCCTGAGCCTCCCAAGAATGTCCATTTGGATCTTGTTAAAAAGGTCGAGCCATCCAGTGGTTATAAAACAGATGTATGTAAGCTCTTCATCAAGGGTGATGGAGATGGCATTAAATCTGCCATCCCATCTCCTCCCTGTTACACCAGTCCACATGTGGAACAGTCAGAACCTCGCAAGAACAGGGTGGCAAAGTATCGTGCCAAATTTGATCCCAGAGTGACAGCCAAGTATGACATCAAAGCTCTGATTGGGCGAGGCAGCTTTAGCCGTGTGGTGCGGGTAGAGCACAAGGCCACCAAGCAGCCATACGCAATCAAACTGATAGAGACCAAGTACCATGAGGGGAGAGAAGTGTGCGAATCAGAGCTATGTGTTTTGCGTCGTGTGCGACACACTAATATCATCCAACTCATTGAAGTGTTTGAGACTCAGGAGCGTGTCTACATGGTGATGGAATTGGCCACTGGTGGTGAACTGTTTGATCGGATTATTGCCAAAGGCTCCTTCACAGAAAGAGATGCTACCCGGGTTCTGCAGATGGTATTGGACGGGGTTAAATATTTACATACATTGGGCATAACTCACAGGGACTTAAAACCAGAGAATTTGTTGTATTACCACCCAGGCATGGATTCTAAAATAATGATCACAGATTTTGGTCTGGCAAGTGCTCGGAAGAAGGGAGATGACTGCTTAATGAAGACTACCTGTGGAACCCCAGAATATATTGCTCCAGAGATCTTGGTCAGAAAGCCTTACACTAACTCTGTGGACATGTGGGCACTTGGTGTGATCTCATACATCCTGCTGAGTGGGACAATGCCGTTTGAGGATGAAAATCGCACCCGTTTATACAGGCAAATTCTGAAAGGAAAGTACAGTTACTCAGGGGAGGTAAGTTTGTCAGAATTCATGTAGAAAAGTGCACATTTTGTTGGAGTACTTTACAACGGACTGAAATCTGGTGCCTTCAGAAATGTCAAATAACTCACTTCTCTAGTGTCTCAAATGTCTACTTTTGAAGACATCTCCACACCTACACCCGGATCGTTCAATCTTGGTATCTGTTGTAACCCAGATTCTTTAAAAAGCTACATTTTGGAACATAGTATAATTTCAGCTATGGAAACTAGACCCTTTTACAGTGTTACCTCGATTTACGAATGCCTTGGTTAACATAATATTCGGTTTACAAAGGAAAATCCATTGAAAATAATGCCTTGGTTTACATTTTTTTTCTCAGCATGAAGCAAGTTTCCCCAGGATGCATTGTGCCTGGAGGTTTATAGCGTTGCCCCAGTTCCTATGGCAATCTGCGTTTCGGTTTACGAATTTTTTGCATTAAGTAACGTCCCGGAGAACCCATTAAATTTGTAAACCGAGGTGCGCCTGTATCATGAAAATGTTTTGTATAGTTTTTTTTAAAAACAATAACTGTTGTATTTATCAAACCAGAGGTAGCACTTTTTTTCCTGAGAAGTGTTAACTATACAGTAAATATTGGCAGTCATGTGTCCATGGATTATGATTGTCTTTATTCTATCCATTTTAGAAAAGTGTTTGTTTCTTTTGAATTTGCAAAAGCTGCCAAAGAGTTTTTGTGAACAATAGTTTTAAATAACAATTAAAATAATACCCACCTTTTCATCAGTTAATGTTAACATGTTAAACAGCTAAAGGAAGCTTTGGTTTTCTGCCTCCTCTGAAAGGTGATAACATGATACCTTAAGATTTTACAGTAATCTTAGGAGGATGGCTCTTAGTTGAATGTTCAGAGGTGTTAATTGTTATCTTTGCAATTTTTTAAAATGGTTGTTCATCAGTGAAACTACTGCTAAGAAAAGACGATAATAGGTCTCCAGCTGCTTATATCAAATACTAATCCATTGATTTTTTCATGATATTCTGGCATGGAAGATTTCAGAAAATCACTTTATTATTTTGGTCTATTCACTACTTCTTCCATTCTTTGGTCCATTTGGCTGGAGCAGAGATGGGGAACATGATACCTGAAGTCTAAAATGCCTGGAGGGCTACAGGTTTCAGAAAAAAGAGTGTTGCAATATAAAGTTAGGCCTACTCTGTCTCATTCATAATGTTGTCCTCAGAAGTGGAAATAGTTCTGCTATTGGTCTGTATGCATCCTAGCAAAAATTGAACCATACATTATATATGAGTAAGAGAGCAATTTTTCAGTCAGGGGATGAGAGGTGACAGCAAAATAACCATCTCAGAAGCAAAGAGGATGGTTAATATTTCTAGCATTTTAGAGATATAAGGCTGTAATGGCATTTCAATAATAGATGTCTTTGTGATGTTTAGGCTGTAATGGTCTTGATACTAAATTACGATATAAAGTGATGCAGAAAGAGAAGTCATAAAAGTTTATCTTGAGAGAGTCTGGTTGTGTAGAACTTGAAGCAACTTCTAAATAATGTCATGTTGCACATTGCTCAATCTTTCTGGTCCTTCGTTTTGTTCTCTAGTTTCCATGTCTATTTATTGTTCAGATCTGTCTTACAGTCACATGTAAGTTGCTTCCAAGTTTCTGTGCTTCAGTGGCCATATAGAACAAGTCAACGTTGAAGCTGTTTTTACCTTTTGTTGACGAGGCAGAAAGTATTACAACTGCAAATTAAAAATGTAAAATTCACAGAATTTCTACTTTATTTATATGCTCTGCTTCCTTTTTAGCCTCATGAATTTACTTCCATGTCTCTTTGATTGAAGATGGGTGTGAACCATTGATTTGATGGTTTGGCACAGTTTGTTTCCTGACCAAACAGCTGATCCGTGTTTTGCTGCCCTGTGGGCCCAGCAGGCGTCCACTTGGAGGTTCAAGCCCATTCATGCTCTAGATACAATAGTGGCTTGGTGTAGATGTAGTTTTGAAGTGCCTTTGTGGGTCTGAGCAGAGGCAAATAGATAGACCCAATTGCATCTAAATAAACCACAACATTAATCAATAATGTTAATTACTTTTAAAAATTCTGTCTTGTTTACTTTTGGAATGGTAAGCAATTACCCTGGGTTTTAGCCCACTTTTGTGTTCTTTTGGTTTACTTACATTTCTTCTTTTACTGTATAGCAAGTGAAATGAGAGCTTCTGATTTCGATCGCTGTCTCTATTCATGAGTTGTGAATGAATCTGGCAGTTGCCATATTCTGGAATTTGTTAGACAATATGTTGCATGAAATTAGAAATAAGTAATAATTCAGTTCTTCAAAAGACTTTGTTTTCTAAACGTGGGATATTGTTCTTCTCTACCTATGATTTAAAAAGCCAGAAAATGTGACCACATAGCCAACAGGAAAAAAGAATGCCAGACTTTACGTAGCTAAGGGTGGCTTGGATGTCGACAAAACCAGTGGCAGTAGTCAAGATGGTCTATAGCAAGGGTCCCCAACCTCCAGTGTGTGGCCCGGTGCTGGTCCGTGGCCATGCCAGGACTGGGCCACGGAGACAGATCTCCCACCCCCCTGCATGCACTTGCGCCCCCCCTACTCACGGCCCGCCACCTGCACGCATGAGTGCCCCTCTGTGAGTGCGCCCTGCTGCTTTGCGCATACGCATGAGTGTGTTCCACCCGTTTGCGCAAGTGCACCCTGCTTCTCTGTGCATGTGCAAGTGTGCCCCACCCACCTGCAAGTGCAGGGGGTGCACCCCATGAATGGACCCCTCAAATGGTCTCAGAAAAGGTTGGGGACCACTGGTCTATAGGATACCCTCTTGTGCTTACTACAGTTCCCAAAGTGACACCATGCAAAGGAAAATCCCAGAAGCTGGCTGCTTTTTTAAATCAGTTAACCACTTCTAACTGAAACACAAAGCAATTGTCAGGGCTATTTTTCAACACAAGTGAATGGTAGTGAGCACAAGATGTTGCAATAGGAAGAGAGAACAAGTTAATATAAGATGTTGGTTTGCAAGATGTGAGTGAACTGTTAATGATATGACGTTTTGGAAGTCAGTGACTCATATAGTCTGCACACATCAGAATTGACTTGATGGCACATAGCATCTTTGGAGATTTTTTCGTAATTACTAAAGAATGGTATTGTGACAAGATGTGTGGAATAGGCACTCAAGCTCTGCTAACATTGAGCAGACTATCCTCAGCTACAAAGCAAAAAATAGTAATTTAGTTATTTAAGTTGTAAATCAGTGAAGTTCTGAATATTTATCCTCTTCTTTAAAATGTATTTTAAAATATTTTTATACCTGAAATAGAAACTCTTTTTAATGTCTGTTTGGCCAGGAAGTAATTATTTTCTTCTCCAGAGACATTTAATTTGGTTCTGATTGGCAGAGTCAAAAGTTCAGACCTCCCATGGCTGTCATTGATGTTTCTGTGGCACTATTAGTTTTTGTTTCAGTCAGGCTTTGGGATGAAGCAGATGCTTCTGAAGATTTGAATGACAGAAATTATGTATTGTTCCTCACTAGGGCTTATCAGCCTTAGCCATATGTGTTTCTGCAGCTGCAACATTTGTCTAGAAAGCTGTTCACTGGAACAAGAAAATTATGGCTGAGCTTATTTATGATTATATTACATTGCTGGGTTTTTTTTTTTGGTAGCAAGTGGTTTATTGGTAGTTTAGGTGGGAACTTGTTGCCCTTTTTAATTAGACCATGGAGGTATATGCTGCTTTAGATTACTCTCCTCCTACTGGAAAAAAGAAGGTTGAACTGATATTTTCTGGAGTGTAGTTTATTCCAACCAGTACTAAAATTTGCTGTGTTGGGATAGGCAAGGTCTTACTGTTCAATGCTTTTTTAAAATTTGTTTTGTTTCAATTGGAGGGATGGTCCAATATTTCTTGTTGCAATTATTGGTCTGTTGCATTAGGATTTTTTGGCTAAGTGGAGCAGTGGTTACTCAAAAATGGAAGAGAAGTTCTTAGACAGGAAAGACAGTTCATATTTAATTGACAGGTTGGCCAGTACCTTTGCAGTGGATAGGAGGTTACTGACTCTAAATTACCCTTCATTTAATGCAGAGATGGATATTAATGGGAAGTCCAGTTTTTTTCTTGTACAGTATGGGTTCTATAGAATAGTGCATTGTACTAATAGAGTAGCATCTTAATCAAATAAATAAATAGATTTTGAAATCATTTGCTTGATACACATCTCTGATGAACAAAATGTATGGGAGAAAACCTAGGGGTAACTAGGAGAGAAGGAAAAGTTCTCTAGTTTCTTTTTCCTCCCCCAGCTTAAGATTACTTTAGTGTTGTGAAAGGAAAATGACTTTTTCCATGACAGAAATACTCTCAAGAGATAGATCTGTGGAGATCTTTCCATGGTATTAGCATGCTTACCAGCAGTGGACATCTGGGTCAACAGATAAGAAAGGTGAAAGTGTACAGTATTCTAAGATAGGCTGTCATAACATTTCACAGATAATCAGAAAACTAGTACAGTATCACATGAAAGTAAAACAAGGGACTGTTTCCTCTCCAGCTTCATCCGTCCTACTCTACCCTACCCTTACTTCTCAAGACAAGGCTGAGCTTCAGTGCTAAATGGAGATTGCAGAGCCTTTTCTGAAAAAAAACAACAATGAAAATTGAAATTCAAGCTGACTTGTGAAGTGTTCCCATTTTCTTGACAAGAAATGAGCTGACACCCAATTAATACAGTGGCTGCTGAGGAGAGCTTACTGTTGGGGTTCTATTCCTGGAGCATAGGGTCTGTGTTTAAGAGGCTATTAAGCAATTGATGGGCAAGCTACACCATAATAGCTCATTCAGGTTCTGCTGACCTCAACTATTCTGATTATCATTCTCTGGCTCTTGCATGGTATTGAGTTGATGGCTAAGGCATGAAGTTTAAGGCTGCTTGGGGAGAAGTGACTTGGCAAGCATATCTGATGATGCTAGCTCCCTGG